AAGGCACCCTCTTTGCATTGCCGATCTTGCGCCGTAGTTCAGGCCCTGCGTCTGAGTCGGCTGACAGATGTGCACCTAAGTATTGAAGCTGCTTGACTTACTTGAGTGCTGTGCCATCCAGGATACACGTCTCCTTTCGCTCTCACAGCAAGGACCTAGAAATTGTCCCAGTGCTGCTCCATGTCCTACCTGCGACCCGCGTCCGAAATTGCTTTCAAGTACGCATTCAAGACAACGTCGTCTGTACCAATCAGCAGGGTGTTGTCCGCATAGACGCACTGTCACGAGTCCCCGGGGACGTAGCCGCGGCTATGTTGCGCCTCGCTGCGTAAATGGCGTGTTCCGTACTGCACCCAGCCCTGAAGCCAAATTAGGTTCGCCACAATTTGTCGTCGATGCCAGCGTTTAGTAAGTAGTTGTGTTTTCAACATCGTGGATAAAACACTTGCATTGCGACGCATTGCAAAGATAAAGGGCGATAGTTATCGCAATTGGTCGGGTCCCCCTTCTTGTATAGCAACCACATTTTCGAAGCGCACCGTGGATCTGGAATTCTTTTCTGTTCCACGCTGCAATACAGATGTCTAACAGCCACTGCAATTGCCTGGGCTCGTCGGCCAGCGCCTTGGAATTACACCTCTGCTGGGATGTCGTCAGGTTTGCAAGCTTTCCCAAAACGCATGCGTTGCAAAGCGTTCCGGAGCTCTACAACTGTGAACATGCCCAAGTTTACATTCAAGCGAGGGTGAATCATGTCCTCCGTATTCGGCGTCAGGGTGACGTGTCGCACATGCCACTGGATCGTGTTGAGGTGTTGTGCGACAGTCTCTGCACGCTCGTCTGTCGCGACGGGGTCACCCACGTGTTACTCAAACGGCCTTGAGGTCTCGCTGTTGGTTTCGTGATGCTTTTGATGCAGTCCCAGTCACCAGAAGCAGTAAGATCTTTCAGCCATCTGGCACGATCTTGTTTCGCAGACCGTTTGACAGACCTCCTTAGAACGAGTTCTGTTTCTCGATCTCCGTCGACGCGTGCCTGCCGCCGGGCATTCAAGAGAGAGAGCGTGCGCTGGGAAATCCACAGCTTGTCCAGCGCGCACACCATGTCTGGCACGACGGCTTCCACATCAGCCAAAACAGAGTTCGAAGAAGCTTGCCAGCGCTGGGACACAGAGCCAGACAACCGCAAAACTTCTTGCGGCAAAGATTTTCTTCTAGAAGCTGACCGGAGTTTCCCCCAATCTTTACGCTTGCGTCTTTGCCTCGTCTCCTGTATGGACTCCATCTCGCCGGTCATGCAGTTTGCCAACACTGGATAATGATGTGATGCGAGGGTGGTCGTCGTGTCACTCCGTATGTCCATCAGGTTTCTCCCCAGAGGCTTCGGGACCAGCAGCAAGTCAAGGGCGCTGTACCCGTTGGCCGTGATGAGGCTCATGGCATGTAGCCTTGTCCTTGAACTCCAGTGGAAGATTGAAAACAGTGTTCGCGACGATGAAGTCAAAATCCGTATATAGCTCCATGAACACATCTCGGTTTGGGACCTCAGTTTTCTTCACCGCCTCCTGGCCGAACGAATGCTCACCAATAAAGCCCTCCTCTCCAGCACGTCTTCCACCAAGCCTGGCGTTCCAGTCACCGACACCGAACACTCGCCGATGACCATAACCAGGGAGTGCCTCCAAATGACGGTGTAGGCGGTCGTAAAAGCTCATCTTCTCGTCCGTCTGCCTGTCATTCTGCGGAGCGTACACAGTGCATAACATGAGCCGCCCAGCGCAAGTGCGGATCTTGATGGAGGCAATCCTCCTGTCCAGCTGCCAGTAATCGCACACTCGCGGACGAAAGCTGGGAGCGATAACACAACCTACACCAGCAAGTTCCGGATGCTCCCTTGCCGTGCCTGACAATACCACCAAGTAGCCGTCTTCGGTGTCATAGTGATTGGAATTCGGCTTGCGAGTCTCTTGTAAGCACATGATATCGACGGACTGCGCACGCATGTATTTGCAAATCTCAACGACTTTCAACTCTGTCATACCCTCAACGTTCCAAGAAACAACACGTACAATATTGTTGCGGCCCATATTGAATTTGTCCACGTCTTCGTTGCTCTCCGCCGCGAGGGGTGAAACTGAAACAACCTGTCTGTTTGCGCACCGCCGAGACCTCTACATGGAGCCACCCTCGTTCCCCTTGCCTTTACTATCACTGAAGGCTTTCGCCCTGTCGAGCGTCGCCTGGGCCGCCTTGGTGATCTCGGAGAGCTCACCTGACGACTGTAATGCATCCCACTTCCCCTATTCCAGGTCGACCCACTTCAGCTCTAAGCGAAAGTCCTTCGCCACCGTCTTGGCCACCACCGTCCTGGCCACCGACAAGGAAGAGTCGTCCGTGTTAGCTTTGATGCACGCCTTGTTGAAACCCCATTTCGCCAGCATCCGGCGCAACCCGAAGAGGACCCCGTGCTGCGTGCGGATGTCGATGGGGAGGTCCTGCTACGACCAGACGGTGTTTCCTAAACTCCCAGGCTGCCTTTTCGCGAAAGCATCGACCGTATCGAGGAACACCTGGGGCGCCGAGTCGGACCCGAACTTGATGATGAAGAACACGCCCTGGAACTCACTCTTGCGAAACATGTTGCTGGGCGTGGGAACTGGGACATTGCAATCAGTACATAAAGTCATAGTCCACTTAGCTGCCTCATCAAAGGTCGACGCCCAACGTTCCCAATGACAGCAATGGCAGATGATGGGTTGCACGTTGAAGCTATGTCTCTCGGAGTCGTGCTCTGCGACAAGCTCTCCTCGATCGTCTTCGCCACGTCGTCTTTGGTGGTGGACGTCTCCTGAAGCTTGGTCACCTTGTCTTCCACGCTGCTGACGGTCATGCTCGCCTCCAGAGCTGCCTGCTTCGCGGACGTGGCCATCTCTTTCGCCTGCTTCGCCTCATGCAGGGCCTCCCTGTTCTCGCGAGCCATACCCTGCACCTCCTTCCTGATGTCCTTAATGTCCTTCATCATTGCCTGCATCATGTGCATCATGGTCGCCTCCACCTTGCCGAATGCCGCCGCCGGACGATCGTCATCGTCCAAACCGTTCATTTGCTGCAGGGGGGATTCGGTACCGGTCTGTTTCCGCTCACCACTGAGAGGAGTGCCAATGTCGTAACGCTTCTTTTCGCAAGTCAAGAGGGCACCGAAAGAGAAATCGGGACACAGAAGTAATGGGTACAGCACACAGGATTTAATATGAGGGGGTGGCTCCTTGTGGCGGCATATGTGGCTCCTTGTGGCTGGATCTCCCAGGAGCTTGCACGTGTGTCGACAGCTGCGTAGTTGGCAGCTTCCAGGGAGGGAAGTAGTAGTTTGGATCCGCGTATGACGTCACTCCGATGGACCTCCCAGGTGACCCCGAACGTGTCGACAGTTGTGCAGTTGGCAGCGGCCAGGGATGGGAGTTCGGGTCTTTGGTGGACCGCGCCTCGCAGGCCCTTCGAAGAGCTCCCGAACGTGCAGACAGAGGGGAGTAATAGTTTGGGTCCGCATATAGCGTCACTCCGCTGGGCCTCCCTGGAGCTTGCGAAAGTGCCTGCAGCTGCACAGAGGCAGCGCCCAGCGAAGAGGAAGCGAGGAGGGCAGGAGAACGGTAGGAGGCATGAGGACAGAGTAGGCGGGAATAGTGGAGGAATTCGCAATGTTTTATTCAAAATGAGGACCCAACCGAAGAAGGGTTGAGGAGGAATTAGGAGGACGCGTCGGACGACGCTCCACAGAGTAATATGCATCCAATTGGTTTGTACCCCTGTGAGAGGCGTTGTACACAGTATACAGTAGACATGATCATGGGTTCCTCTTGGAGGCGGGTTTGGGGTGTCTTGGGGGCCTCTGGGACCTCTTGGGTCCCCTGGGGCCTCATTTGGGCCTCTTGGGGGCCTCCTGGGGCATCTGTGGCCTCTGCATGTTAGGAACCTACTTGCGGTCTGGGGAGTTATCTTGGGGCAGAGGGCAAGACATGTTGGCTCGTTGTCCTCTTCTTGGGGCTCTCTTTGGGCCGTCTTGGGGGTTGATTGGGCCGTCTTAGCCAGAGGTGTTCAATATGTTGAAAAGACAACAGGACATACATGATGTTGGCCTCTTGGGGGACTCTTGGGGGCCTCGTGGAGCGCTCTTGGGGCGTCGTGTGGGCTTCTCGGGCCGTCTGGAGGCCATCGTGGGCGTTTTGAATCGCTCTTGGGCCGTGTCGGGCCCTCTTGGTCTGTCGCGGTGGATTCTTGGCACTCTTGGCCCGTCTTGGCGCCCTCTTGCCTCTCCGAGGTCCTGGGAGGAGCGTTGATGAGTTCCCCCCCTCGTCACCCTCAAACGCGATATTGGGCCCAGGGGGAGGGGGAAAGGGGGAGGGGCACAGCCAATTATCTCACACGCCTTGTCAACCTGGCAAGCGGGAGTCGGCGGATTCACCCTCCACATAGTTACGTCCATCCCCTCCGACCTTATATGATTTCCTTCCCCGCTGTACCTGTCCTCCCCTCTTCCGCATCTTCCTCCCGTGCGCCCGTCCCTCCCTGTTGTTATCCTCCCTCCTCGTTCAAAATCCTCCCCCATCTCGTCCTCCCTTTCTCATGTCTCGTTCCTTTTCCATAATTCCCTCCTTCCTCCTCATGCTGCTCCGTCCTTCAGGCCAGGCACTACATCTCAATCCCCATCATCCCATGAATCTCACCATTTATCCATGTCGTCGTCCTCCTCTTATCCTCATCCTCGTGTCTCCTTCCCAGTCCCTTCTCCCTTCTCCGTCCTGCCTTTGCTCAAGCTGCGTGACCCCCCGCGACACTGACTTCAAAATACATGGTGATGACGACATCGGTAATTAGCCGTTCTGGCTCAGGTCTCCGTCCGTCGGGGGGAGCTCTCCAGGCCGCCATTGACTGGTGCTCTCTTCGGCGAATGAAGCGCGCCGGTCGTGCTCGGCACGCCCGATAGCGCACCCGCCTCCAGGGCACATGGGCGAGGCACTCAGAAAATGCGTAGCGTGCGACTGGCTCGGAGACTCGATATTCGGCGTGGATGTGGACAGGGTCTTCGCGTATCCAACCCCGAAGGTCGTCTCCATCCAGGACCGCACGCTTGGCATTGTGAAGTACTCGCTGATGCTGTTGATCTTTTGTTACGTGGCAGTTTACCAGATGGCTTACATGGGAGAGCATTTCGAAATGTCCGCCGTCGAAGGCATCTCCCGGCAGCAGTGGAAACACCCCACGAAAAATGGATGCAACCCCTCACATGTGGATTGCGTGGCCGATTTCACGCCTGTCACTGCACTTCCTTACTGTAGGCAGCACTCTGGTGGAAACACTACTTCCGCAAACACGAGTTGCAGATATTTCGACGCGTACGGGCTGCCTGTGTCGATGCCCAAGGGAGTACTCATGCCTACGTACATCGAGACATACAAGCAGCGTGTGGAGTGCCCCCCCGGGGCCGAGGACTGCGAGATGACGTACCGCTACGTCAACGATGAGGGGCAGCTGGAGAATGGTACCGGGAAAGCCGTGCCGATCAGTGCGGCGTACGTGGCAGACGTAGAAGATTTCACCCTCCTGATCGACCATTCTTTTAGGACCGTCAACGGCAAGATGGCGAGCCAAGCCAGCCACATGGAGGGCAGCTACAGGGCATGCAGAGCCACATCGGGGACAGCTTCATGGATCAGCGGTGGTGCACTCGGTGTAGCGAGCCAAGCCCGCCACACCGAGTGCACCACACAGCCCCTACCTTGCGTCCACCCGGGCTGCCGACGAGCTCGGGGCTCATTCTTCGCCCTCCCCCGAAGGATTGGCACTCCGCATGTGTCTGTAGTCCAGTCGTCGCTCCGTCACCGAGAGCAGTCTGTGAGGCCAACACAGAGCCTTGCGTTGGACGCCGACAGTGAGCAGACCATGACCGACACGGCCACGCTCGCCGCCACCTCTGCGTTGCTGGAGCCAGTGGCGTTTTCAATCGAGGCCGGGGACGTGTTCTCTCTGCGCACGCTTCTGGCCATGGCGGGCGAGACGTTGGACGACGCCGACGTGCAGGGCGAGCCGCTCCGGCGCCGAGGTGGCGCCTTGGTGGTTGGCATCGAGTACCACAACCTAAGGCGGTGGAGCCTGTTCTCTACGCAGGACCCGCCTGAATACACCGTCTCGGCCACGCTCAGCAGCACGGATAAGTTCAAGCACAGGTACGCGTACGGTGAGGATCAGAATGGCCGCATGCTCAAATCTCTCTATGGGGTTTACGTTGTGGTGGAACAGTCTGGCCAACTCGCTTTCTTCGATATTACCCACAGCTTGCTGATACTTACAACTGCGTTGGGATTGTTGGTTCTCGCTAATACATTGACTGACTTCCTGGCTCTCTACATCCTACCGCGCAAAGACGAGTACTACAAATGTAAGTATGAGGAGACGGACGATTTCTGCCCTGCGAAAAGCTAGCACGACGGTGGCGGAGGCGCCGGCGAATGAAGTGAGTGTCGTTCTGATGACGGTCTGCGGCAATGGTCTACGCGTGGCTCACGGCATTTTTGCAGTTGGATCGGCATATCGCAGAAGCCTGGTCGAAGTGGAAGAAGGGCGCGGCCCCGCTGATCCGATCCGAGCGACCGCCTGTGCAACCCCCTAGGGGAGGCGAAATCCTAGAGAACGTGCGAAGCATGAGGAGCACGGCCGGAGGAGGGAAGCAAAGGGAGGGAGGAGGGAACGCGCGGGAGGCGATGGGTGGAGACGAAGGAATAGCAGGGAAATTACAAGTATGATGAGGGAGGGAAGGAGGAGAATGAAGAGGTAGGAGGAATTAATGCAAGGATGCAGTTCTTCTCCCTCCCTCTCTCTCTCTCTCTTCCTCCTAATTCTCCTCCTCCTCCCTGATCGTAGATCCGCCTGCTCTCTCTCTTTCTTCCTCCTCCACCGCTTCTTGTTCCTCCTCATTCCCCTTTGTACCAATTGTTTTCCCCATTCGTCCTTCTCATCCCTGTTCCTCTGGCCTCTCCCCTACTAGTCCTCACGTCTCCTCCCTCTCCTCCCTTCGCCTCCGTCTCTTCTCTACTCCCCCTCCCTTCGTCTCCATCTCTTTCCTACTGTTCCCCATCATTCCCCTTCCACTCATGACGTGCGGAGCAGGCACGTGGACTCGGACAGAACCTCTCAGACAGCATTTTTTCCGAACACAACGACGGATGGTCAGAATGATCGTCGGAATGTCACGGAGACTCGCGGCAGCGACGCCAACGCCGCGAAATAATCCAGGAACAAAACACGACACCAGCAACCGTTCCCCCAACGACTCCAGCGAATCCGACGTTTGGAGCAACCCAACGGTTCACCAACCCAACGTGCAGGACGCCGCCAACGACCAGAAAGGCACGCATTTTGGCACCATGCGGAACGAAGGCGCCGAGTTTATGGTCCGTTGCCATCCGCACTCGCACTCGGAGGGCAGACAAGTTCATGCTACGCCATCAGATACCTGATGTATCACACAGACACAACAGACGAATTCTGCGATGGGCGAATCATGTGGCTCACCAGCCCGTGACATGCTGGACACAGAGAGTGCTAATTTAGAGCCAGAATCTGAACACTCGACAGCAGGGACACTGGCGACAAGGAGGCCAATTGCAAAGATGGGGCGATGACATCCTGAATGTCTTGCACAGCCTGGACAGGCACTGCTGCAACGCCGACGCTGGGCGGGACCATATCCGGGCAGCGGCCAAACCACGACAGCACGGACACTACAGAACATACGATTTGCCATGGTGCGGAGCTGCTGGGAACACTGAGTGGTGGCTATGACGTGAGTCTGCCCACGACCCCCACGCCATGTCCTAAAGGGCACGGGCGGGCTCCCTCGTGGAGCGTACACGATTCCGGCATTCGTTTCGCTCCACATTCCTTCTACCTAGTCCGTTTTCTGTCCTTCTCGTTCCTCTGCCCCCATCCTCCGCCCTTCTCTTCTCCTCTTGGAGGGGCGGGAGGAAGAAGAGAAGAGAGGAGAAGACGGATGATGATGAGGAGGAGAAGGGATAACGTGATTGATGAGTATGAGTAATACGACGAGGAAGACGGCGGAGCGGATGACGAGGAGATGGAGGAGGAGGAGGAGACGATGAAAATGGATGATGACAACAATGACGGGGAGCCTGTGGAGGAGGCAGATGTGGATTTGGCTTCGCGGCAAGCCATGCCGTACATCAGCTTGCTCATCGATTGGCTTCATTCGGCGGTCCGTGTGGCGAATTTGGTGGGTTTGGGTCGCCAGGTAGACACGGGCAACCAGCGCCAGGGCGATTCGAGCCCAGACTAGAAGTATTGCGAAGGCCTTACGGCCAGCGCCGCCGACCCTGAAGGAGGACGTCGACGACGACGGCGGCGGTGGCAGTGGCGACGACGACGAAGCTGACGTGGGCTCGAGTCCTCAGGGATGCTTTTTGGGGTCTCTTGGGAAGGCTCTCGGGGGCCTCTGGGAGGTTATTTTGGGGTCTCTTGGGAGCCTCTTGGGGGCCTCCTGGGGGCCTTTTCGGGTGTCAGGGGGGGCCTCTTGTGGGCTGCTAGGGGCCTCCTGGGAACCTCTTGGGGCCTCCTAGGAGCTTCTCGGGGCCGAGGGCTCGCAATGTCCGTTCGGGTTCCCCGTCAAGGCACGCTCTTGGAGCCGTCTTGGATACCTCTTGGGCCGTCTTGGAGGCGTTTGGGCTGTCTTGGGGTTCTCTTGGGATTTTTTGGAGCGCTCTTGGAAGCCTCTTGGGCGGGCCCCTTCGGCCGTCGTGGAGCGGCGGGAACCGGAAAAAGGCGAGACCGCCCAAATCTGTCAAAAACCCAAGGGGAATCCATGATTTGTTCATCTTGGGGCCCTCTCGGGAGTGCCTTTGGGAGCCTCGTGGGGCGTCTTGGAGATCTCCTGGGCAGTCTGGAAGCGTGACGGCATTTTGGACCGATCGTTTGGCGATTGGGGGCTCTCTTGGACCGTCTCGGGGGCCTCTTGGGGCACTCTTGGATTGTTTCGCTAATTTTTTGCAGCCCCAGGACCCCCAGGGTGGGATGGGTATCTGACCCCCCCCCATGGGACCCCCCCCCTGGGACCTCCCCAGGGATACCCCCCGGGACCATCCCCCGATGGGGGAGGGATCAAAGGGAAGGGACTTCCATTCGATTCGATTACGCCATTGCGAGGTTTTTCTTTCGTTGACAGGCTTGATTGTGGAGGATGCAGGGAAAGCGGACGACGCAGACGACGACTGACGGAGACGACGATTCGAACAGACAAACCCTTCGCGGACGCCGACAGGGTCGGTAGATTCCTATAACAGTGTTGGCATTCAGGTGAACTGCCCTCTGGGTCGCCCTTGGCCGTTCGCGCTCGGTGCTCCATGGCCGTTCGCGTTCGGTGCCGCGTGGCACTTTGCCCTTTGGGTCGCAGTCTGCAGTGTGCGCTCTGTGCTCTGCAGCCGTTCTCGCTCGGCGCTATTCGGCACTTGCCTTTGGATCTAAGTTAGCCCTTCGCGATAGGTGCCGTCTGGTTGGCGCTCGTTGGCGTTTGGTGTCATATGTTAGTGCCCTATGGTTGGGTGGTGCCCTGTGGTGCCGTCTGGTTGGTACCTTCCGCTTGGTGCCATGCTTGCACATCGAGAGTGATGGAGCGCGTGAAGCCCACGCGCTGGCGCCAATTTGCTGCATGATGCACTACTGCTGAAGAGATGAGCCATCATACTCGAGAAGCTCACGAGTGAAGCGGCCACAAGCAAATGCTCACGGTCAGCTCATCTGTCGACGCTGCCAGGGGTCAGATGTTCTTCTCTACTTCTACTGAATCCTTCTCCTTCTCCTCCGCCCGGCCCTCCCGCTCACCTCACTCTCCTCTGGGAGGTTTCTGGTGCCCACTGCTTGGTTGTCACCTCGGGGAGGAGCATGGCCGTGCCATCTGCAGTGCGCAGAACAAGGAGCCATCCCTGGCAGTTGGAATTTCACGCTCAGGCGCAGTTCGGTCTGAGATCTTTGTTGGTCTCGCGGAGGCTGGAGACGCCCTGCCTCCTCGCTCTCCTCTGGCCATCGGGCCTCCGTGCGTTGCGCCCCCCCCCCCCCCCCCACCCGCCCCCCCTGCCGCCGCTGGAGAGGCGGTGGCCCGTGCGCTGAAGGAGCCAGGCCGCTCAGCGTCTGGTGACCGCGCGCGAGCGCGCGCTCGGGAGCCACGCAGATCCAATGTCCCCCCATGAAGGAGTGGGGTCCTGAGGAAGGAGTGGTCACAGAGCCTGTATTTGTTTGCCAGTTGATTGTGTGCCCTCTCTGGGCTCTGGGGGGCCTCTCTGCGGGCCCCGGCAATGTCAACAGAACGTCTCGTCCCGAAAAAGAGATCGCCCCAGCCTTTTCTCGCCCCTCCTCTCGTCGGGGTTCCCTCCTCCTGCTCCTGCCCCCCGCACCACCGACGCCGCGTTTACATCCTGACGTTGCGCCAAGCACTCATCCGATGAGTACGCGCAACCCGTTGTTCTGTTCGCTTTGGGCTCTTGCCGCCAAGGTCTGGGTACCGCGTCGCGCATCGTGTGTACAACAGCCAGGCTCCAATCCGAGATTAGCAGGGTGGGTGCATGGTCAGGGGGGGGAGCTCCATGAGGTAGGGGGGCAAGAGCAAGGGACGGAGGGATGATGGGCGGCAAGAGCGGATGGGGGTGGTGGTGGAAGGAAGGTGGGAGATGGATGATGCGCGACTGGCCTCGCGATGTGCGTGGTGGCTAATGAGTTAGAGCATGTGCGGATCAACGGAGAAACATCACAACTCCGCTTTCTTCATTGGGGGGGGACTGGGGACCAGGCCAGGAAAGCTGAAAGAGGCGTTGGGGACAGCCACCACTCGCGGTTCGAGAAATCATGCGGACAGGAATGTTGGTTTAGCGTGTTTAGCGTGTCGTCCTTTTGGTTCTGGCCCACCGCGTTTTACACGCTGTCCGCCTCCCCATGCCCAAGTGTCAACGTCCCGAGCTGTTCACATTCTGCATGTTCGCTGCCCCGTGACTGGGGGAAGGAATCGGTAGGGAACTGCTTTTGCCTCCAAGTCCAAGGCGGTGTCTCCTGTGCTGGCAAGAAAGACACGGCTGCTATAGCGACGTCCCGGACAGCGGCCAGGCTGCCTGCTTTGAGGCGTGCGGTCTGGTAACACCGCAATTCTTCCAGAGATGCCGGGCGCTTTGCGTGTGACCGTGAATGGTCGGCCCGCTTCTTCAGACCTCTCCAGAATTGGGCCGACCGGTCCGTCCATGCACTGTCAAATTGCGATGTCAAATTGCGCTGTTGGTGCCAACAGAGCACTGCAGCGCGCAGATTCGTGACGGATGACCAGGACCGGCCGTCCATCTGGGCAAACAACAGCATGAATTTCACGTCTGAGTCGCACTGCAAAAGTTGCAGCCCTGAGGAATTCTCGAAAGAATCTACGGCAGTACGCAGGGAGCTGCTATACCGCTTCTTTGTGCTCTCCTCCAAGGCTGCTTGGAGGCAACACTGAATTGCTGATATGGCCTTGCTGCGATGTGCCCCCTGTTCCACAGAGGTGCTCTCGCGAATTAAAGACAAGAGGTCGGGGCCCTCACTCAGAAGCTGGCGCGCGCCTGGTGCGTCCATCGGCGGGGCTCCAAGTGGTTCGTGTTGCAGCGCGGGGGCCCCAACAGCCCCGCTTGACGTGCTAGGGCGCCAGCGTGCGTCGCCGGGGCGGGTCTCACCCAGAGGCGCAGCGGATGCATGCGAAGGTGCAGCGCGAGGCCCGTCGGAAGACGCTCTGTCGGCCGCCGGCCTGGGGCGATCGAAATCGTCGCGGTGCAAACAGGCGGGGCCGAGGCGCTGGCGGCGCGCAGGCTCTTGCGATCCTGGGCCGCGCTTCATCTCGAGCCCCAAGGGCTTTGGGTCGCGGCGGCCATTCCCTGTCGACCAACAGGCTGGGGGGGGGGGGCGGCGACGAAGGTGTTTTCCCCCCCGCCAGGGGGCAAAAAGTGCACCAATCGCACTTTTTGTTGCACGTTTTCTTGGCGGTCGGGGGCCGCCTGGGCCCTGCCGTGCGTGGCCCCCGGGGATATTGTGGCCACGGCAATACTCATGGGCATCGGTGCGCGGATCTGGTAAACCACGCGCGACGAGGAAGTCTTTTTCTTCCCTGCCAGAGCGGCAAAAAAGTAAAGCAATCGTACGTTTTTTGCACAGAACTGTGTTGAATGAGGCCGCCAGGGCCGCGGCCCCGGTCCCTGGTGATTTCTCTGCCCCCCAGCAGTAACTAAAGTGTATGGCGCGTGTGCCCGGTGACTGCCGACCCGCGCCCGCCGACGATCCCTGGGCGGGATTGCGTAGGAAAGGGGAGGGGCGGAGCGGGAGGGGCGAAAGCGAAGGGCAGGCGAGGGGCAGAGAAAGCAGGGTGAGGGGGGGAGCGTGCGGTGATGCGACGACTGGCGCTCTTTTTTTTTCAAGGCGTGCACCGGGCGTGGCCTCGGACTGGGTCGCGGGGGCTGGCCCGGGGCGCGTGCCTGCTTGAGACGCAGGCACGCGGCGGAAGAAAAGAAAGAACATGCGCCGGGAACGGCTTGGCAGGGACTCTGCCGGCAGGCGCAATTAAAACTCTCGCCCCGGACAATGGCGCTGAAGAAAAGAAACGCATGTGCAGAACCATACGTGTACCCAACGGAGCGCCCATTGACCGGGGACTGGCGCCGACTCGTGTGCGTAAGCGGCTGTAGGGGCAGTCCGCCGCCCAGTGCTTGACGTCCTGGGTCCTGCCTGCCCCCTTGCACTTTGGGCAAGTGAGCACGCAGCGGTTGCCGAGGGACTTGCACGTCGTGAAATGATGCTTCACCGCTCCACGGTTGGAGTAGAAGCAATTTCGGCACACCTCGGACATGAGTGCCTTGACTGCTGCCGGGTTGGTTTTGGTCTTCTCCGAAAGGCAACCTTCGATCTTAGGAACTTCAGGGTTCTTAATGGCAAAAACGTGCAGCTCGAAGAACAGAGCGTCAGCGTCTTTCTTCTTGGCGGCTCGTTTGGAAGACTCGACTGCGGCTGGGGACGGCGACCTCTCCCGCTTGGCGAAGCCCGAAGCGCGGCTGGACCTGCCCTGCTCTGGGGCCTGCGCCTGTGAGCCCCCGGACACTTGCCCAGAGGCGCCGGCGCCGGCGCTGCCCGAGGAACCGGTCGCAGCTTTCGCCCCCAAGGCCACGGACCCCAGGATCAGATCGATTCCGAAGTCACGGAGCAACAGCTCGCTGTCCAGCGCTACCGCGGCCGATGGCTTGATGCATCGCCGCTTAAAACTCTTGCTGCATTCGTATACGTACGGCATCAAGGCCAGTTTCTGGGCAGCGTGTTTCGCAGGTGCCGTCTTTTTCTTGCTTGCAAGAACCGTCGCGCGCTTTTCGATTAAATGGTAGAGAGCCAAAATGGCCCAACCCAAGGCGCGAACGGCATGGTCGCTACTCTCTGCGCGCTCGCCCAGTGCACTTGCAGCCGGTCGGGTCTCCCGCCCTGCTCGGGGAAGCACAGCTGCTTCCAGGTGGTCCGGGCCGCGCGGCGCAAGGCTGCGCTGCTCTTCAGCGCGGGCGACTCAGAATTAGCTGGGTGTGCGGCATGCAAAGCGTAAGCGGTGGCCATGGGATCTTTCGGGTCAGCGAGGGACTCAGTGACAGACTCCTCTAACTGGTCGGTGTCAACCACGATCGCAAACCACGCCCGCCTGACCTGGTCGGGGCCAAGGTCGCGCAACACTTTACGGAACGGAAGCTCCGCGTCTGCCTGGGCCTGGAACTCCGGGATCCGGTTTGCCCTCGAGAGGCCCTCCTTGACGGCGCTGCTCGCGGCGACGCCGATGGTTCCGTCGGCGGCGACCTCCTTGGCGACGCTGGCGAGCACCACTGCGTGGATGGCATCTGACGGGGCGCAAGCTGCCGCAATCGCCTCGTCAATGAGGGCCACGACGCGGTCCTCGCTGACTGGGGACCCCATCCCCGCGACAGTGGCGGTGTTCAGTCGGCAGATCCGCTGATGGACCAGCTGAACCGAAATGCGGCAAATAAGAACGCCCCGGAGCATCCGCGAAGCATGGGCGGTCTGGGGAGCAAGGGGGGGACATGTGAAGAAACGAGTTTTTGGAAACGCGGGGTGCCCTTGCCATCGACAGCAATAAAAATCCCAGCAATGCACCCAAATAGCGGGCAGGAGCGGGGGGCTAGATTGGGGGTGGAGAAATGGGGAAGCACGTGTACTGCGATGTGTAATTTTGTAGGTGCGAAAGAGCACAGGTAGCCCTGTCAGCGCTTGCGCGCCCAGCGGTTCGGAAGCCAGCTTTGAAGCGCGATGTATGGAAGATCCGATGCTGGGCCTTTCGACGAGCCGCGATCGGACGGCCATCGGAAAAGGTCGGGCCCGGCGGGCCGCGATCTGATCCTGTGCCACTTGGATAGCAACGACGGACGGAACCACGGGGCCCCCAGGTCGTCAGGGCACAGGATGAAAACGCGCAGGTCTGCGTTATCAGCAATGGCGGCATTCAGAAATTCAAAAGTCTCTTGGAGCAGCGCGCGCGGTGGGCGCGCCCACGCCGCGTGGCCGCGCAGCTCGGCCTCGAAAGCGGAGAGTTCTGGAAAACGCCACTCGTGGGCGGGGGCCGTCATGCCGAGTTGATCTGCGAACAAGTCCAGCGTGAACTGAACGCCGCATCTGGATTCGACCTCTTGAAACAAGGTCTTGCGAAGTGCGGCGCCCCTGTGCCGATCCTCGCGCCAGGAACGCGCGAAGTCCAGTGACCGGGATCCCGCGTCTGCAATGACGTTGCTCTTGCCAGGGATGTGCAAGGCTAGAGCCCAACATTGAGCTGCCCGCTCGGCGCCTTCAAAACGATGCGCCAGAGACTCGATGGAAGGTATCCGCCAGTAGCGCACATTAACGTAATGCACGGCAGCGGAATTGTCGAGCTTGAACAAAACTCGCCAACCCTTTAAGCAAGAAGACTCCCTGAGAAGGCACTGGACTGCAACCCGCAACTCCTTGTAATTGATTTCCAAGGAATTGGGCTGCGCCTCCCGGGATTCGAAGTTGTCAGGCCACATGTCGGCGACAACGCGGCTGCCCCAACACAGGTGGTATGACCGCCCGTGCATTTTGGAGGCGTCGCACTCCACGACCCGGATTGCGCCTTTGCGGGCAAGGTTCGCCCAATCAGCGAATTCGGGAGATTTGTGGCCCCACATGCTGAGAGGGCCGCCGTCGCAGTGCAAGGAACGCACCGGGGGCGCACATAAGGCTGAGCAGATGTGCGCCAGGGCCGCGCGACTGAAATCTGAGAGAGTCACCGGGGGGTCGGCCAAGGGGATGGCACACCACGCCGAATGCGCCCCCGACGCGTTGCAATTTGCCCAAAGAGGGCGCAGCCGGCGCCGCAATTGCGGCAGGAGCTCCGCGATCTTCGAGGCCAAACCTACTGCCGATGCTAACTTTTTGCTGCGGAGCGTGCGGCGTTGGTCTGCCACGAGAACGGGAGCGCACTATTCGCGACAGCGGTCAGTCTTTTCAGGCGGCACGGTGATAA